ATTTTTTGACTAATTGAGTGTATATTGAGCCGGCGACTCTTTAATTTTTTTTATAAAAGATTTTTCTAAGTTCTCAGCAAAGTTCAAACTTAATCTAATGTTAGTATCGATCGTCGCTTCTAATTGCAGACAAAAAAGCCATAGTTCAGCGTCCCTTTTTCCGTTTGTTTGTTTTGAAGAAAAACCTCCCGCCCACCCCCCCCCAACCTTCTTTACCGAGCTTATGATTTTGACTAATTGAGTGTATATTGAGCCGGCGACTCTTTAATTTTTTTTATAAAAGATTTCCTTCTAAGTTCAGCAAAGTTCAAACTTAATCTAATGTTAGTATCGATCGTCGCTTCTAATTGCAGACAAAAAAGCCATAGTTCAGCGTCCCTTTTTCCGTTTGTTTGTTTTGAAGAAAAACCTCCCGAGCTGCGACGCGGGTGCCGTGCTGAGCCGCTGGCTGAGCCTGGAGTAATTTGTCATCGGGAAGTTAAATACCTTAAAACTTTATAAAAGACATGCTTTCATTATTTTTTTTTAATGTCGATAGCAACAGGGAAGACTGTGGGTGGGGGTGCGATTCAATAAAGTTCGTTAGCGGATCGGCCGAGCGTCCAGAATCCCGATGCTGCCTGGGAATTTGCCCACCGTAGCGATGCCGCTTGCTGCCAGCGTTTGCCACGTGTGTCTGTGCGAGGTGGAGATGCTCGGTTGGAAAATGAAAGTGCTTCTTGGCGATGGAGTCGTCAGGCCAGTGGAGGCCGGCGGCGGGTGAATGCTCCCCTTGGAGCAGTTTTGGCTGGAAGGTGCCTGTCCTCGCTGTCGTACGGGGGGATGCACCTTGGGGAAAGCCTCCGTTCACATTTTCACATCTTGAGTTTTGCATTTTGAGGCTTCACGGCTGAGCGGTCACCTACAAGGCGTGTGCTCCGGTGGAGTGCGTTAAGGGTAGGAATAAGGAGGCTCGCTCTTCCTCCTTGGCTGCTGACCAGCCACAATACCCCAAACTGCAGAGTTTTGCCCTCTCTTCCCATTTCTGAGGCGCAGAGGAGCGGCAGATCTAACTGTCTGCTCCCAGCAGAGCCGGTGTGGCGGGACCGGGCATCGGTGCTCCCACCAGTCCGGTGCGCCAAGACCAGGCGTCGATGCTCCCGCCGGTCCAAAATGCTCCTGCTCGGGGAAACCACGGCTTCCCGTGGGGATCCAGGTCCCAGTTGCAACGCCCGGCGATCCCCGTGACGCGTGGCCTGTTGGTCTGCTGCCTGCGCGGAGCTGTAACGTTAATGCCGTGGCAAATTTTAAGTAGCTGCGTAGGGAAATACTCCGGCGTTGGGCTCTTTCTTTGCCAGCCTCACCTCCATTCGTCTCCGCCTGGATTAGCGGAGCGTTGTGCTACTAATGCCATTAGGCACGTTGGCACTGCTCGACATGTCACAGTGAGAAACAGATGCAGTATACCATTAAAGCAATAAACGTGATAAATCGGATCCCAAGTGCTTTGTGAGATGTTATTAGTGTTAATTTTGGTAGCCTGATACAGTAGTTGTTTTTTATTTTATTTTAAGCATTCGGCAATTTATGTTCCGCTGCAATCGAAACTCGAAAAAAAGGAGGAAAAATAGAAAACAAGGGGGGAGGGAAGGAGGAGGGGAAAAAAAAAAAGCCAGCAGCCCCCCAAACTCTGCCCGTGATTACTTCCAGAGTCCGAAGACGACTTGGCAGCTCTTGTTTCTTGCTGATGGGCCTTATTAGCGGCACCTGGCATCATAAGGGGCTAATGGAAACCAGCGTTCCCGGTTGCCTGGCCGCT